CCGCCCCGCGCCTCCCGCCGCGCCCGCCCGCTCCCCCTCTCTCCCCGGCACTGCCGCAGAGGCTCCACCGCAACGCGAAGCCCACACAGCCGCTCCGGTCCGCCCCTCCTCTGGTCTGTCACGCTCGGCGGCTCCTCCGAGAGGCTCCTCGCTTCCTCCCGCAGCTCCACTCCGCGAGCAGGAGGCAGCGGGAGCGGAGGCAGCGGCCGCGGCTCTCCGCCGCCTGCCCCCCGGTAAGTGATGCTCCGGGCACTCGAGCTGCCGAGACTGCTCGAGAGCAACTTTTCCTCTTTTTTAAATTTTTTTTTTTTTTTCTTTTTTTGCATGTTTGACTGCAACTTCCTGACGGGACTTAGAGGGGTCTTGCTTTCCGGGGAAGGGGCATAGCTCTCTTCGGGGCAGGTCGGGCGCTAGACGGGAGAGCGGGGTTCACTCTCATCTCCGCCGTGAGCGGTCTGTGCTCGGCTGCTGCTCGCTCCAGCTCTATCCAGATCTCGGTCTTTGCACAGAGAGAGAGAGCAGGTTACGCAGATCCGAAGAGGTATGAGTGTCTAATCTTTACTTTAGAATCTGTCTTATTAAAGCTGAAACTTTTGCACACTAGGGGAGCAAAAACCAGGGGTGTCGAGGTTTGCAGACTCCAGATGTTTGAGGAAAACAAGTTTGCAAATGTCCTAGCAGTAAGGATGGCGAGGAAAACCAAAGGAGCAGAGAGGTTGTCAATTCCAGTTCCTCAGAGAGCCGGCACTTTCTAAGATCTGTAAAGGAGGGAACAACCAGCGTTTCAGACCTTGCAACAGGAAAGGAAGGGGGGTGGGGGAATAAAACAAAGAGAATAACAAATTTAAGTGGTTTTGAAAACACTGTTGCTTTTCTCACTATATATTTCCTTCAAGAATTGCAACATTGATTATGTTGAGAGAATGGTTTGGTATTCGTGACCCATAAGGGGCAGGAAGGGATTTCCATCTCTGCATCTTCAGGAAAAGAGTTCTCCAAAACGTACTAAGTCCTGCTTTGCAAAAGGCTTTGGGAATTTAGGTCCCGAGATGATTCTGACGTATGTGGGAAGGAGAGAACAGAGAAGTCACAGTGATGAAAAGTATAGCCCAAGTCCTAGGGTTAGGAAGAGCCATGGGATGGTGAGGCTTTTTGAGGCAATACCCATCTAATTTAAAGAGGATTGCAGGGTAGAAGACCCCTGAGGAATTCAAAGAGGCATAGGAACTGGTCTGGCAGTCCTGAGCGGAGGCAGGACACCCCAGGGACTGGAGGGCTGGGTGACATGTGGGTAATTGAACGTGTAGGTCACTGATTAGACTTAGGAGCCTAATCCTGAAAAACACTGTGGGTGCAGTGTGAGTAGGGGGCGAGGGTGGGAGCTGAGTCATCCTGGCTGGGGTGGCCACGACACATCTGTACAGAAAGGAGGGGGCTGAGGAGAGAAGGGAAAGATGAGGAAGAAGCATATAAAGATAGGTGGGGAGGATGTAGACTGTCTCATCGAAAGATGCTGAGATCACCCAGGCTCCTCTGTGATTGATAGTATCCTGCTCTCCTTTCTGTAAAGGGTTAGGATGCTGCTGAGTGTATCTCTGATGGAGGGGGGGGGATGGATTGCAGAGGTTAGTACAACACAAGGGAAACCTACTCAGACAAACACACTTGGTACTGCTGGTACTTGGGCTGCATTGCACTGCAGTGCAGGCAGCTAACAGGAACTTCTGCCTTAGGAGAGAGAGGGAGCTGCTGAATTCATCTGTAAAGGTGGCACAAACTATGCCAGAAATTACTGCTTCTCAAGGGAATTGCAGATAGAATTGGAAGCAGAGCTTTAAGGAGATATTAGAAGGATTTTCCTGATGACTTCACAATAGACCACAAAGGGTTTCAGGAAAAAAACCAAAAACCCAACATACAAACCAAATGAGGGTCTCTGTTTGGATTGATTGTGAATAGTATACTTCCACCAGAAGTTTTCCTCCAAGTTCTCTAAGTGAAAGGGTCCTGTTTTAACTGTGTCACGTATCCTCCTGGACAGAAGTTTAACAATTTGTTTTTTTCGTGGGCTGAGTTCCCCATGTGAATGACAACAACAATTTCACCATCTTGTAAAACGTTCATGGTTTACTGTGTAACTAACCAGTTATTCAGTATTTTCATGGAGAACAAAGCAGCACGGTAAAACAGACTCCATTCCTTCCCTCTCACCTAGGCATTTTCTGCAATTTCCCTGAATTGAATTGAATTGAATTACTATTTTAGTGTTTTTTAAATCTGTTTCCTTAATGTAGGAGCAAGACGTATCGCTTATCTGTATTCCAAAGACATGAAGAATTTGATAAAATAGTCACAGTAAGTTCCAAGTGGACTTTTACTTCTATTTGGAGGAAAGCTTTGTATAGGCCAAATACAGAGAAAAAGACAGTCAGTCAATTAAAATTATTGATTCATGTCAAGCCTCCAAACATCTTGGAATGATGCTTGAGGAGGAAGAAAAAACAATCATTTGTTTAGTGTCTGCATTTCTAAAGCTGTATTCCTGTGGTATTTCAATAAAAATGACCATGAATATCAGTGGCACTGACCAGACACAGAGTTTCTCTGACAGCGATTTGATGTTAAATTACGTGTCATTGCTTTCAGTAAAAATGGGTTTAAATTTGACGAAATGAAATCAAACCAAATATTTTCTGACTATATATTTGAGATATCTAATTTCTTTTCAATAATAATAAAGCAAAGGTGTTAGTTTTTTTCTCATTTCTGAGCAAGATGTTTGCAAAAAAGGAAAATAATATGAAAAAATGTTATGTTTACGGAAGATGATGTTACCTCAGGTGACAATGTGAAATCTGTAATTAAATGTATATGTGCCTGGGAATGTAAGCTTGTGTAAATAAATTACTTGCACTAGTGGCTGATTTCAAATTAGCTTTTTGAAATGCGTGTTCCAAAGCACAGCTGACGAAAGTTTATCCACAGTGGTCCTGATTATTCTGTTAGATCAGTGTGAATTGAATTATAAGTTTCAGTGTGAATTAGAATGAAACCAGCTTTATAATTATCTAGGGTTTTGGTTAGTTGTCTTTTTTCTTTTTTTCTTTTTCTTTGTTGGCTTGTTTGTTTGGGGTTCTTTTTCTTGCATGAAAGTAGTATTAATAAAAATATTTCACATTCTCATTACATTACACAACATTATAAAAGTTGTTTCAGCATCACAGGCAGATCACTTGGGCTGAATATTGCTGTGAATCTTTGCAACCCATACGCACCACAGGATGCATATCAATGCATGTTGAAACAAAAGCTCATCAATTAGATTAAATGTGTTTGCAAACCTGTGATAGGGAACTCACAGCTGCTGCCACTGCTTTCATATGATGTAGTGCATAACATTTTCCTATTAAAACAGAATGGACTCCTTTGTAAAATGACTCAGAGGACTAGATTTACAGCCTGGTTGTTTTTTTTAAGTGTTTGTAAGCAGTATAATGGAAAAAAAAATATTGAAAGTGTGCTCAAAGTATTGACATTGCAAAGAAAAAGTAGTTAATTTTTTTTTTTTAACTTAGCAAACTCCTTCAGTTTTAAATTAAATGTTTCGTATTCTCTAGTATTTATGTTACAAAACATGGTGGGCCTCTTTTTCCATAACGCAGTGGTTGATAAACTAACACTTTTAATTCATCTTTGGTTTTGTATGTTGCTAGACAGTTCATCTAGAGACATTCTAAACATACAGAGTACATATTCTTGTGTAAATACAATTACCTATGTTACAGGTCAGCGATCTATTAGTCGGGTTTGTTTTCAAATTGCCATTTTTATGTCAGCAAGAGGTAAATAAGTGTGCATGAAATATAATCGAATGTGAATTTATTTAGAATGATTATTGTTGAAGCGTTTGTCCTCCTGTAAAAAAAAAAAATAACCAAATGGAGTAAAGTAACATCAAGCACATTCCTTCCTTCTCTGGTTCCATCTTTCAGTCATTTTCTCACCCAGAGAGGCTAATAAAAGTTTGAATATTGCATACACAACCAACAAAATTGCTTAAAGGTGCAATACAGTGTAATTCACTATAGTGCTATTAAGATATTGTTAGCGTTCTTCCATTTTTAAGACTAAATTCTTACCTCTGTTTGTCTGTATATCGGCTGACTGACTGCTGACAGTAAAGACAACAAAACATCAGAGACATCCATGATTAGATGGGGATTCCATCCAAATATTTCTAATGGAACTAAAGATGCACCATATTAAAAATACAAATGACACCTACCACGTAATTTATCTGCTTCAGCACACAAGGCATATAGCTTTATATTGATCTGGGACTCATAAAAAACATGGTGCTGCTGCAGCTTCATGTTTCCTTGCCAGCCGCAATATTTTTTTTTTTTTTTAAGATAAAGCAGCATGCCTGTAGCTGGCTCTCACTGCAGGTTATTTCTGTGGTCATGGCTGCATGGGCCTAGTTATGTGCTTTGTTCTAGAGTGGAAGTCTGTGTCTCACAAGCACGTCTTGATTTTTGATGGAAAATCCATGCTACGGTGCAAACATTTGGTAGCAGCATTAGCGCGTGCTGCAGGATTTCTCTTCTTTAATGATCATATGAGGGTTTGTGTAGGAAAAATAATTATGGAAAATAATTATTTAATCACTATTTTACCATTTAACCATGATAATTGTGGAGTGGAGAGACTGACTTTATTCAAAGCACCTCACAGGGCCTCTGTGTATCTTTTATTGACATTTTCACTCTAGTATAGAGCTGGAGGATCAACTTTGCTTCCTGTAAGCATAGCAATGCTGGAGGGTTTTGCTTTTATCTGCAATCACAGCTGTTGCTGCAGCCTTACAAAAGATGGTTCCCTGTACTGCTCCTAAGGCTGAGAAATTAATGATTTCTTGGACCAGAAGTGTCCATGAGTCAGCAGCGTGTCCTGGTGGCCAATGGGATCCTGGGGGGCATTAGGAAGAGCATTTCCAGCCAGTGGAGGGAGGTGGTCCTGCCCCTGGACACAGCCCTGGTGAGGTCTTCCCGGGAGTGCTGTGTCCTGTTCTGGACTCCTCAGGACAAGAGAGACATGGAGCTCCTAGGATGGGCTCAGTGGAGGGTGACAAAGTTGATGAGGGGGACTGGAACATCTCTCTTATGAGGAAAGGCTGAGTGAGTTAGGCCTGTCCAGTCTTGAGAAGAGACAAGTGAGAGGGAACATCACTGAT